AACGAGGGGGGAAAAAAACACGAAGTGGGAAGCAGTACAGAATACATTCACACAATAGACAGAGGTTACGACAGAGTTTGTTTTTAATATTATTAACTTCCTGATCACCTGATTAAAAAGAACAAGTGCTGGGGGGGGGGGGGAAACAACAACTATGTGGCCTCTACTGAAACTCTGAAAAAAACTTCAAGATCGGTCTTAAAAATAGAAAAATTTAAAAAATTAAAAATTAAAAAAACAAAAACAAAAACAGGAGCATTTTGCTAGAAAGATTCCTTCAAGTCTGCATGTTTTAGCAGACATACAAAGTCCTCGAGGATCATAACAACAAGCAAGAGAAAGACACATACACACACTCACACAAATATTTTCCAAGACATGGCAGCTGAGAAGAAAAAGGAACTTGCTTATTTTTTCAACAGGCAGCATACAGACTAAGAAAGGCACATGGCTATAAAAAGCCAGAATTAATCATAAATTCCAATATTCTTCGTGCACAACATGGCAGATTTCAACACCCTACCTTCCCCCCCCCTCACCTTTCTTTTGGTTAAACATCATTAGATCCTCTCAACATAATTCTCAGCCCGGGAAAAGGTTACAGGAAGACTGTCGTGCCTCTTAACCCCTTCCAGATGAAGGCAAATTTTAGTTGCTGCTGAGAAAATTTGAGGGGGCATGTATTTTATAGCCAGCTGTTCCCACCAGTAAGCTTCATGGCAGAGGAACAAAATCAGGAAACTGAGAGGAAATAGGTTTTGTGGACTACAGTATTCTTGTATTAGGATCTTCGTGAATTTGGCTTGATGGCTATAGGGCAGGGGTCTTTAAACTTGGCCCTTTTTATGACTTGTGGACTCCCACAATGAGGAATTCTGGGAGTTGAAGTCCACAAGTCATAAAAGGCCCAAATTTGGAGACTGCTGCTATAAGGGCTGTGAAATCAGTCCCAGTAGATCAGGGACAGCTGACCTTGTCGACTTTCCAACTTTTGGACTTCAACTCCCAGAATTCCCATGCTGGCTGGAGAATTCTGGGTATCGAAGTCCACAGGTCTGAAAGACGCCAAGGTTGGACAGTCCTGGTCTTGATCTTAAGAGTTACTAGGCACCTTCTATGTCACCCCAGTGGGTAAATCTGGACCCAGGAAATGTATTGTCCAGCTAAGACAGCGGTTTTCAACCTGTGGGTCGGGATCCCATTTGGGGTCAAACGACCATTTCACGGGGGTCGCCAAACAATGCAGTCTGCCATTTTTTCCCTCTTTTCTTTAGCTGTGCTACTCCCTTTTATTCTGTTGGCTTTTGAAAGCCCATAGAATAGACTCTCTTGAATAGAGTCTAACTCTATTGGCTTTCAAAAGCCATAGGAATTGTCCAGGCTGTCTCTGCCCTGCTGAGCCCACCAAAAGTCCCATTCTGCAAACGGTGCTGCAAGTTGTCTGCAGCGAAGGCGAGCTGTCTGGAAGCTTCCACCCCTCCCTGCTGAGCAACTACTAAAAATGTAAGGAAAAGAGGGCCAGGGGTGGGAGGCCGGTGGGCGCAGGGAGGGTTGCTGGCGCGCATGGGGCCCAGCGGGTGCCTTACCTCCCTTAGGCTGGGCCAGCTGGTGGTCGGCCTGCGCTGTCTCTGCTGCTTGCCAGCTACGCCTCGGCCAGCGCAGGGGGCGGCACCACGCATGCGCGGCGCTCCCGGGCAGGGAAAGTCCTCGACTTATGACCGGTTGGGTAGTCCTCGACTTACGACCGGTTGGGTAGTCCTCGACTTACGACCGGTTGGGGGTCACGGCATTAAAAAGGTTGAGAACCACTGAGCTAAGAGATAAAAGTTTAGGGCAAATAATTTAGAAAATGGGAACTTAAGTCAAGGTGAGAAACAGTGTCCTGCTGATTCTGCAAGGGCAAAAGGCCACCAATAAGAAGATTTACAGAGACCAATGTTGATAACCTTTCTCGAAGGAGAATTTTAACTAAGCTCAGATTTTAGCATCTTATTGAGTTAATGCTGAACAGCAGAAACACACTTTCAAGCAGCATGAAATAGGTCTGTATCTATAGAATCAGCCGAGCTGAAGATAACACTTTAATAGTCATTCAATTTTTTTCTCTGTCTCAATATTTAACCTTAGATTATGGATACAGGGGGGGCTTGGGTTGAAAACAAAGAGGTGTGATCTGGCCAATTAATTTAATATAAACAGGGAAATTATTCAGACGTGCACGGCTCTGCTTAAACCTGATGCAACCTTTTCTAGGCAGATTTTTTTCATCAAACCAATGAATGTAATTAAACTGCTTCAATTAGTAAAAGCAGCATAAAGAGATCATACGGGTCCCAGCAAGCTTGCTTTATGACTTACTGGTGGAGACACCAAAGGGAGGGTCTTCTTCTCCTGGAGAAAAGGGTAGTTACATATTACCCATTTGTGGTTTGTTTAGAGTTGGAATGTAACATTGTGATTTTTCCTGTTTGGAATAAGTCCAGAGAGGAGATTAAACTAGCCATGACTCCCTATCTTGCTTATTCCAGCTAGAAGAAACTAGGATGTCACATGTAGATAAGAGGGTGACCTCAGAACTACCCATCCATAGCTTGACTGACATTGGTGCCTCTTGGGAGAAGTAACTCCTGGATTTGGTGACAGCTAAGCCATGAGCGAGGTTCATCTTGCTGTCTGAATAAGCTTTATAAACTTGAGTCCTGGTTGAAAGACAGAGACAATAAAGAGGATCAGGGGACTGGAGGCTAAAACATATAAGGAACGGTTGCTGGAATTGGGTATGTCTAGTTTAATGAAGAGAAGGATGAGGGGGGACATGATAGCAGTCTTCCAATATCTCAGGGGCTGCCCCAAAGAAGAGGGAGTCAAGCTATTTTCCAACGTGCCTGAAGGCAGGAGAAGAAGCAACGGATGGAAACTGATCAAGGAGAGAAGCAACCTAGAACTAAGGAGAAACTTCCTGACAGTTAGAACAATTAACCAGTGGAACAACCTGCCTCCAGAAGCGGTGAATGCGCCAACACTGGAAGTTTTTAAGAAGAAACTGGACAGCCATTTGTCAGAAATGGTATAGGGTTTTCTGCCTGAGCAGGGAATTGGACTAGATGACCTCCAAGGTCCCTCCCAACTTTATCATTATTATTATTACTTAAACCAAAGAAAAGCAGCATTTATACCAGGCTGTCCCAAAAGTGCTTTTTAAAGAGGCAACTGGACTTTCTGGGTTTTTTTTTTCTTTGAAGATGTTTCGCTTCTCATCCAAGAAGCTTCTTCAGCTCTTTCTGGTTTTTCTTTGAAGATGTTTCGCTGAAGAGCTGAAGAATCTTCTTGGATGAGAAGCGAAACGTCTTCAAAGAAAAACCAGAAAGTAATTCTTGAAAAAGCACCTTTGGGACAACCATGACCTGGATGATTGAGAATCTCCATAGATATTTATACCAAGCTAGTATGATCCAAAGTTTGCTGATCATTGGGGCATGGGTGACTAGGGAGACTGCTTCTAGACCTGGTAAGGAGTCCTAAGATCTGAAATACATGACCCCAAAGCAGGTCGTTGTTCAAGGAAAGCCTCGTCTTCACAACTTCCAGTGGCTCCCAAGAACCCCTTCCCTGCTGACACTGTAACAGCTTTTACAGCAGTGGTTCTCAACCTTTTTAATGCCGCGACCCCCAACCGGTCATAAGTCGAGGACCACTCAACCGGTCGTAAGTCGAGGACTACTCAACTGGTGCAGCACCGTTTGCAGAACGGGGCTTTTGGCAGGCTCAGCAGGGCAGAGACAGCCTGGACAATTCCTATTGGCTTTTGAAAGCCAATAGAATTAGACTCTATTCAAGAGAGTCTATTCTATTGGCTTTCAAAAGCCAATAGAATAAAAGGGAGTAGCACAGCTAAGGAAAAGGGGGTAAAAAAATGGCGGACTGGGTTGTTTGGCAACCCCCGTGAAATGGTCATTCGACCCCAAATGGGGTCCCGACCCACAGGTGGAGAACCACTGTTTTACAGAAAATAGATTTACCGTCCTAAATAGGAAGCCGCTCTAACAAAGAAGCAGAGGGAGAAATGTTCAGGAACTGAATTCACACATTTTGGGGCCCTAGAATATGCCTCGGAGCCCATCCAGAAGAAGCACCCGGAAATGGGATACAGGTGGTCCTCAACTTACCACCACAATGGGGAACAGAATTTCCATTGCTAAGCGAGGTGGTTATGAAATGGGTCTTGTCCAATTCTGCGACCATTCTGCCATGGAGGTTAAGTCACTTTTTCAGTCCCACTGTAACTTTGAACAGTACAGGTGTTCCTCAACGTATGACCATCTTTTGCCCAAAATGGATGTTTTGCTAAGTGAGGCGTTAAGTGAGCTCTGCCCCATTTTACGACCTTTCTGGCCACAGTTGTTAAGTGAGTCACTGCGGTTATTAAGTTAGAAACAGGTTGTTAAGTGAATCCAGCTTCCCCATTGACTTTGCTTGTCAGAAGGTCCCAAAAGTGGATCATGTGGCCCCCCCGGGATGCTGCGACTGTCATAAATATGCACCAGCTGCCCAGCATCCAAATTTCAATCGCGGGACGGTGGGGAATGCTGCAGCGGCCGAAAGTGTGAAAACGGTCCCCAAGTGACGTTTTTGCAGCGCCGTCGTAACTTCGAACGGTCACTAAACGAACTGTTGTTAAGTCGAGGGCTTCCTGTAGCTACACGAATGACTGCATGTCAAGGACCACCTGTACTGACGTCTACAAAACCTTGATCAATGGCACCCCAAGCCAACATCTCATGCCACAAGCAGCCAGCGTTAACTATCATGCACACGAACACATAACACGTTTCAAGATGCATCCAGCCGGGTTGTGCAGCTGGGCTGGCAGTTTTTCCATGGCCTCTAATGGGGCTGCGGTTGGAATCACACACACACACACACACACACACACACACACACCAGCCCTAGGCTTTCAACCGAGCTGAGTCAAGACCAAGCTCCTTCCCCATCTTTCTTACCTTCGTGCCCGGTGGTTTACGTGCGGATGTTGCCGTGTTATAAGGGCACTGTCCCAAACGGGCCCAGCATGGTTACTCCTATACCAGCTTGCTGCCAGGTGCCCAGGATAAGTTTGGCCAGCAAAGCCGTGATCCGACTCCGTCTCGGCGGCCAGAGAAGAGGCTGAGCTGCCCATGGCTCCCCCCAACCCTGGCCGGGCCAAGATTTACTCTAGGTTAGGTCCCAAGGAGTAGCATGAGCTGTCGGGCTGAAAAGATGAAGACTCTGTAGCATGGAGTGGAGCGAAAAGTTCTCCCACCACTGGAGGAAAGGAAGCTGGTGCTGATCGGAAAACAGAAAAGACACACACAGGGGAAGAAAGAAAAAAAAAAATAAGAGGAGAGGAGAGGGAGAGAAGAGAAACAGAGAAAGAGAAAGAAAGAGAGGTATGATTTTCTTTCAAACCCATGATGTGACATTTTCTAAGAGTCTGTCAAAATAAAAACAAAAACAAAAAACACAGAGATGGCCTCCATGATCATCAAAACCAGGGGTCTTCAAACTCGGCCCTTTGATGACTCGTGGACTTCAACTCCCAGAATTCCTGAGCCAGCCACGCTGAGGGGAAAGGGAGAGGTTTCCAAGCTGAGCCATGCTGGCTGAGGAATTCTGGGAGTTGAAGTCCACGAGTCATAGTTCCCCCATGCTGGCTCAGGAATTCTGGGAGTTGAAGTCCAAGAGTCATCGAAGGGCCGAGTTTGAAGACCCCTGATCAAAACCCATGTTGGCTTCATGCAGAGCAATTCACACTCAAATGTGAGAACTGGGAGGGAGGGGGAGGGATGAAAACCCACCTCGTCATGAACGTCGACATGTGAGAAGGGATGGGGGGGGTTCATGGGATTTTCAATTAAGTTTGAAGGAGCTCTGTCATTTCTTGGGAAAGGGGGAAGCTTGAATCAGAAGATGGTTCATGGCAGAGAGTGAGGGATGGATCCCTTAAAGTTCATACTATTAGGAAGAACGGGTTAAGTAGAACACATTGGATGGAACCCTCGCAGAATCCTTTGGGAATCTGTACAGGTAATCCTTGACTTACAACAGTTCATTTAGTGACCATTTGAAGTCACAACGGCTCTGAAAAGAAATGACTATTTTTCACACTTATGACCGTTGCAGCATCCCCATGGTCATGGGATTTACATTCAGATGGTTCATTATTTATGACGCTTGCAGAGTCCCAGCATCACGCGACCCCCTTTTGTGACTGTCTGTTAAGCCAGATTCACTTAACAATCGTGTGAGTAATTTAACAACCGCAGCGGTTCATTTCACAAGTGTGGCGAGAAAAGTTGTAAAAGGGGGCAAAATTCACTTAACAGATTTCTCACTGAACAACGTGAATTTTGGGCTCAGTTGTGGTCGTACGTGGAGGACTATCTGTATTTTCATCAAACTTAAGTCCCTATCAAATCCTTCGATCAAACAAATAAAGCAGGTTACTGGCCTAGCCTGCTTCACTCAACGAACTACGGCAGTGATGGCGAACCTTTTAGAGACCGAGTGCCGAAACTGCAACCCAAAACCCACTTATGTATCGTCAGGTGCCGGGTGTGTGTGGCCGATTGGCTGGGCGTGGCTGCGGTGGTAACAGCAGACTGGGTGGGACTAAAAAGTTCAATCAATCAATTCCAACTTTGCGAGATCCCTTTTTTCCCCGCGAGTTGAAATTGATTGATTGAACCTTTTTTTTTTCTTTTGCACATGGCGGCGGAGGCCTAAAGCGAAAAGGTTTTATAAAACCCAGCTGAAGGCCTAGGACTGGGGCGACGGTGCACATGCCCACAGAGAGGGCTCTGAGTGCCACCTGTGGCACGCGTGCCATAGGTTCGCCACCACGGCACTACGGCAACTTTTGGAGTTTCCAACTCTAAAACACAAGTTGTCCAATTCTCATTTTTAGCCCAAAGTAGCATGCCAAAGCACATCCAACAAAATTAGCAAATATTCTCAGCCTTGGGCTGTGGATGGTTCACACCACTTCGTGGAGCTGATGCGCACCCAAGGCACGAAACTTGAAAAAAAAAAGACACATATTTAATGATGGCACGAACGACCGTTATTAAAAAAAAACGGACTCTTAAATCAAACTCCAAAAATATTTTTGAACTTTCACCTCAGCCAGGCTGCCTCTTCTCTCCTGTCGTGCAAATTGCTCTGCAGTAGAAAGGCTGGAGAGGCATTAATTTAACGTCTTGCCAGCCCACGGGTTTTTTTCGCCACTTGATATGGAAGACAAGGCGCAGCGTCTTCTCCAAGGGTCAGCCTTGCCAAACGTTTTGCTACATCGCTCTGCTTTCCAACTACTCCACTCTTGCCCAGGGGTGGCTTCATTTAACAAACATGGACCTCGTCAACCACCGGATTCGACTTTACGGCAAAGAATACAAAAACGAACGCTGCAAATCTTCCTTGCGGGTGACAGAACCAGGGACCAGGTTATCTGAGGGACTGACTGTCACTTGCCGGTCACATCCACCCAACCCATTAGAGCGGGGAGGCAAGGACTGTTGTGGGTCCCGTCTTCTAAGGAGCTCCACCTGACAGGACCCAGAAGAAGGGCCTTCTCCATGGTGGCTCCTTCCCTGTGGAACACCATCCCTGCAGAAATTAGATGGGCCTCCACGTTGACAGTCTTCCGTCAGGCCCTGAAGACCTGGTTTTGCTAGCGGGCCTTAAACGGCTTATTTAATTGTGTGCTGTCGCCGGAGAGAAGGGTATCGTTGTTTATTTTTATTTTTGCCATTTTGTGTTTTTACTGTTTGTAAGCTGCCTGGAGTCGCTGTGCGGGAGTAGGCGGCTATATAAATTATCTAAATAATAAATAAAACACCTCTTGATAAATCTCCCTGGGCATTGCGGTGCATCGCCCTACAAACACCGTTCCCCAAAAAAGGATGCTGATGAACTTTTTCAGTTCCTTTGGCAAAGCCAGCCAGCCTGTCTGGCGAAAGGAAAAGACAGCCAAGAAACGAACAACTGGCTATCCTGTAGCGTGGCTAAATTCTGTCGAACATGTTGCCAGAAGCACCGCAGAGATTCAGCTCCTCCCGCCAAGAGAAAATCGGGATCCAGATTGGAGCTTGCAAAGGATGTGGAGGAGAGAAGATTGGGGGGGGGGGAGAGAAACAACTTTAATGCTTTCGGAAAAGCTCAGCTGAGAGCGGGACACCAAAGGAGAGGATCTATAAATAGACCCAGCATAACCTCAGCTAAGCTGGACGCCGCAAATACTGCTCACCGAGGCTACTTTCCAAGCACAAAATCTGTTCCTCCAGATTAAACAGAGGACACTCAGAATTTTCGGGGTAGGAAACGACACCGAATCCCTTGTCTTTAACATGGAAATCAAGGTTAACTCAGCTGGTATAGAACTTAATCTAACCACGAACCACAATTAAAGGCTACATCCACACCAGCCTGCATTCTTTTCACTTACTCTTTATAAAACAGGAATGGAGGTGGTCCTCGGCTCACGACCACAGTTGAGCCCAAACTTTTTGTTGCTAAGCGAGATGGGTGTTTGAGTGAGATTTGCCCCATTTTGCAACCTGTTTTGCCACAGACATTAAGCCAATTACTGCAGTTGGAATGACTTGCCTTCAGAAGTTGTGGGTGCCCCATCACTAGACATTTTTAGGAAGAGAGTGGGCAATGAGTTGTCTGAACTGGTGCAGGATTTCCTGCCTGGGCAGGGGGTTGGACTAGAAGACCTCCAAGGTCCCTTCCAGCTCTATTATTCTGTTGTTCTGCTATTCAGCTGTTCAGTGAATCATGTGGTCATGACTTTCCTTGTTGGAAGCCCGCTGGGAAGGTTAAAAATGGTGATCCCATAACCCTGGGACAGTGCAACTATCATAAATACATTCCGGTTGCCAAGTGGCCAAATTTTGACCATGTGACCACAAGGATGCTACAGTGGTCTCCAGTGTGAAAACTGGTCATTTTTTTTAGAGTGCCATTGTCACTTTGAACGATCACTAAACAAATGGTTGGAAGTCGAGGAGTATCTGTATGTCAGTGACTTATTGAGCAAAAGACACAAACAGATAAATAACCGTAATGATTTTTTGATAGTACCGGACAATATTTGCCTATTTTCAAAGAGCCAGGACTATTGTTCATCCATGTGATGTCTTAACTGCAAATCTATCTTGAAATAACAAACAACAGGTAAAACCATACCCCGCTCTGCGCAATTATACACCAGTCACACTGCAGTTTGCTGATTTATCGTTTGCATGGGGCTATGAGTCGGGAGGCACCCCAGGCAGAGTGGAGCATTACTCAAAGTCTTGGGCTCAGTGGTTTGTGAAAGATGTGGGGAACGGAGGGGGCCACACCGAGATTGGGAATGATCAAAACGGCGTTTGCGAAAAATGTAACAGGCAGTTAAAGGGAAATGCAGGAAAACTCACTTTTGAAAAACCTGCATTAGGAAGGATGTGCGTGGAGGGAAGAATTAGCTTTTTCGCATAAACATAATGAAATAAATCACTGTTTGAATTAATCTAGTTTGGGAGACCCAATGCCGTAGCAATAACAATGGGGTAAAAAAAAGACAAATGGGGGATTTAACTAACAGAAACAAATAGTTAAGCGCCTATTTTCCTTTCTTTTGTGGTTTTAATGCATAATTACCACATTTCAAATGTTACAGTTAATTACGCCTGCAAGAGCATTTTCTAGAGCAAATATGCTGATCTATTATGAATCCATTTCCTCCTTCCTATTCTCTAAATTAGTTCCCTGCCCTCCCCCACAAAAGCACTTACAAAGAGAGGAAACAGAGACATTTTCCAATCCTGTGTTTTAAAAAGGCTCTTCCTGGTTCCCCAAAAGCATCCACAAAGGAAACGGCCGCATTAAATCGCTTCTTTGGATTAAAACAGCGCCAGCAGCCACCAAGAGTTTGGGCGGCTGCCACAGAAACAACAACGACTGCTAATACAGGTGGTCCTCAACTTACGACTGCAACTGAGCCCAACATCTGTTGCTAAGTGAGAAATGTGTTAAGTGAGCTGTGCCCCATTTTATGAACAGCTAGCCTATGACCCACTTACAGCACACTCAAGGGCAACCCACACCGAACCAGCAAGCAAGCTAAGGTTAGCCAATAGATTATTTCTTTGCAAA